ACTATTATTTTTAAATAACAATAATAGAGAGAGAGGAAGAGAGAAAGCACCCCTGCATTGGACCCTATTCACACAGCATTCCCGTCTACTCCTTTCTCCATGCTGCAGGATTTGGGGCATGCACACAGCCAGATCTGGCCTGTTTTTAACCTCTAAGTCTGAGATTCAAATTGCATGGTTGGTTGTGTGGGGTCTGGCTCCCTTAACCACTTGGCCCTGACTTCCATTTTAAAATGAATGTTCATTATTTACAAACGATTGGTTTTGAAGTGCAGTGATGTGTGTGTGTTTTTCTGTCAAGTTGAATAGTTCATAGGAAACAAGGAGTTTAAATTTAAAAATTTTCTTCTCTCGTGATGAGAACAAATAAGCTCCATGGGGGGAGGAATCTTTATCTGTTTATTATCTTTCTAAAGTACCCAGTACCTGGCACATTCTTAGGTATGCAGTAAGTATTTGCATACACTTTTTCTGAATTTATAAATTACTTAATCCATTATCAATTTGAAATATCTAGACCTTCAAGAGTTAAGTTTGGATGTAGGGAGTTTCTTTTCATTCTTTGGAAAAGGGTGTTAGGATGAGAAGAGCAGTTGCTGGGCACCTCGCCTCCAGATTAGGAAGAGCAGCTCAGCAGACAGCTGGGCACCATCATGGCGCTTGCAGAGGTGGTAGATGAGCAGAGTTTGAGAGAAGTTGATATTCTCAACGAGCACGAATTCCTATTATAAGATAAAGTGCCAAAATAAAATTGGTCAGCTAGAATTGCAAAATGTCTTAAAGAACTATAGTTTTATTAGTTTGAAGTAATTATAATTAGAAGTAGGTTAATAAAAGGAACATGCTTTAAAATAAATAGGTAATGATGTTTTATGAGCATATCGAAGCATGAGCAAAAGCAATTAGTTTTGGTTTAAGTCAAAGTTTCAGTGTTCATACAAAGTACTTAGCTGCTTTTTCTTCAGTACATGTGTTTAGTAACATTTTGCCTCTTATATGCTATCCCTTATCAAAATGATCATACAGTGTATAGCAAAAGAAGATCTGACACTTTGAATTTCAGGTATAATACAAACTAATTGCTTAAGTGCTTGAATGGGCACAAAGGAGAGTGGACCTGAAGCAGAGATTAAAATCTGATATTAGGAAATGAAGGGGTGGGATGAGAGAGTGTGTAGGAGAAAAGCATCCCAAGGTGGAGGTCAGAGGGAATGTAAGGATATTATTTGTGTTCAACAGTATTTACTGAGAGCCTGCCACACTTGGCGCTGCAGATACAGCATGAAGATGGGCCAGGATCTTTCCCTTGTTAGCTAACAGTGCAGGGAAGGAAATTCACATTCAGATAAAATAACGTCAAATAGTGATAATATATTATGAAGAAATCCACCAGGATAAGGACATACAGGGCGGTAGTGAGGAGAGGTGGGTTATGCTAGAAAGGGTGTTTGGCAAAGACTGGCGCTAAGTGAACTGTCCAGCCCTGTGGATATCTGAGGTGAGGTACCAGGCAGTGCATCAGTGGCTAGCCAGGTACCCAGGACCACGACAGGCCGCACATGACACCAGACAGCCAGGACAGGAGCCACAGCTTGCGTTAGCGCAGCCTTCGGTGTTCTTTTTCTGCTGGAAACCTCGTGGCAGTCTGGCCTTGCAGTCCAGCTCAGTGAAGACGCTGTGTTCCATCCTGGACAGGTATGAGAGCCAACTTAATGGCTTTTTGACCACAGATATATATCTCTCATATATATGTTGGAAAAGTCATGACGCCTTTTCGCATAGAAAAACAAAAAATATTATGACTTTTCTAACAACCCAGTACCACCTCTCTGTTGAGTTTCTGGGGCTCCAGTTTAGAAAATCATGAAGTGTGGTATCCCCCTCAGGTCTTTATCATTCTCTAGTCCATATGCAGTCTGTCAGGGGTCATTTTAATTGCATACGGGGTTGCCTAGCAATATAATTATCAGGTTGCCATGGTAACAGAGCTAGTCAGTTAAGCGAAGGTCAGATTTTCATGCAGGGGAAAAAGGGCAGTTGGCCCTTCTGTCCATACCATTGTTTATCATTCTTTGACTACTACTGCTCACGAAAATTCATCAGGCTTTGTTAGTCTTCAGATGCACACAGAAATGGATAAGTAGACAGGATGTAGATATGAGTGCATTTAAGTCACTTTGAAAAAACACCAGGGTGGACACCCTAGAACCTTGTGTATCAGAGTGTGGTCTCTCCGTCTCCCTCCCCTTAGCTCCTCACACAGCAGCAGCATCAGCTCTAGGAACTAGTTGGAAATCCAAGTTCTCGGCTTGCGGAAGAAGAAACCTGCGTGTGTGGTGGTGGTGGGATTGCTGAGCATTCTGCTGTAGTTTACTGAGTCATCTAGGGGATTCTGATGGAGGCTAAAGTCTGAGAACCACTGTGCTCAAGGATACAGAGGTACATGAAAAGCCTGTTCTTAGAGAGCTCACTGGAAGGGGGAGAGTGATCTAAAAAGAAAACATTGTCATCGGGTATGGTCAAGTCTTACAGTAGAAGTACAAGTGAGAATATGAAGGGAACAGCAGGTCGTCGGGAAAGTCATGCTGTGTATTTGCATAGAAACCCAGAAAAACGTGTCATGACTTCCTGACCGTATATATGGCTCTAACTGGGAGTCAGAGAAACTTGCCAGTGACAGAGGACTATCCTGGGGCAGACCTTGTGGTCCTTGTTAGATGCCGTGCTTGAACTAATGTGAGTGTCACATACATTTTTGGGTTAAATTGACTTTGGTGGTGTGGACTAAGAATCTAACCATTTCTGAACAACCAGCCTTTATTTAATAGACTTTTGGAACAGAGTTGGTAAATTTTTTTAATGGTTACTAGAATAACTTGATTTCCGTTTCGATTCGTATTTAGTTATTTATTAATAGATTTCTAAAAGTGCATTTTACAGGCCGAAATGTTTCAATTTGATTTATTATTTAAAACACTAGTCTTAGTTGACATTTTCACTGAGTCCATTCACTGAGTCCATTGAGAGTAAATTATTTATTTCTGTGAGAATTTTTAAAAGGGCAGTTCATATCAGTTGATTTTGTGATACCACTGAGGAATTTCAGTTATATTGAGGTTTTGTGTAATTCTAAAAATATTCCAAATGAATTGAAGTTAAGTTCAATTTAATAATAGATGCCGCATAACGCATTTAATGAATGATGGAATGCAGAATGAAAACAGAGATAATGGGAGGCTCATCGACTTAAAGGTTAGACATCAACCTTCAGGCGAGCTGTTACCATGGCCGCACAGGGTGACACCGTATTAGGACTTTTATCTATAAAAGATGAAAGCTGATGTTTGTGGACTCAAAGCTTTTCTTTAGTCAAAATTTGTTTTAAAAAAGTCGCAGTTAAATTCCACCTCCCACATTAAAATACTATTTATAGTTTAAAAAAATACTATTACAAAAAAATTTTTTTTTGGTAGAGGTTTTTGCTATAGGGTATATGCACTCACCGGAAAGACAGAGAGAGACAGAGAGACAGAGAGAGACAAAGAAACAGAAAGCAAGAAGTCACCCTCCAGGGGGGATGGCCATGCCACAATTAGTTCTCTTCCATTCTCCTCTCGGGATCTTGGGCATGAATGCACATGCGTCCAGTGTGAGTTTAAGCCACCGGGTCTGGAACTCGAACCACAGTTGACTACATGGGAGTCCAGCGACATAGCCATTACGCCAACTGCTGGCCTCATGAAAAATGTTTTAAAGCATTTTTCTGTTGTATAATTATTCTTTGGCTCATTTCAGTTTATACTTTTGATAAAATTAGTATAAAAAGTCAGAAGCTGATCTTTTAGGATTTGATTATGCCTTAGTGTGCTCATACTTCCACTGATTGGATGGACCCGTTCTTTCAGCAGCCCTTGGCTTAGTGTTTGTTAGTGTATGGTTCTGCGATCACTGCGCCTCTTGTTTACTCGGGCTTACTCCTGTGACTGCAGACAGACTCTTTACATCCCTGTAAATGCTCACGTGCCTAGGGGGAAATCCAGTGTGCGGCCTACGGAATCGTCTCAGAGGTCACTAGAAAGTGAGGTGTTGGTTTTCTTGCATTGATCATCCACTGCAGTTTGGTAGGGAAAAGAGGAGGTGTTGTACCATGCATTTCTACCTCTCCCTAAGATAACCTAGATAATTTGTCAAGGGACATAGGTTTGGCAGTGTTTTGCAGAATGAGGTGGTAGATAGGACAGGCGTGTGATCCAGTGCACCCACACTCTGTAACCTGTCAGCATAGGCACTCACTGCAGGCTGTACTCCACATTAGAAAAGCTGAGAACAGAGTTGACAGTGGCCAGTTTTGTGGTAGTAAGTATGCTACTGGGGATTCCCTTTAATGTAATACTCTCATACTATTGTAATTGCATGTAACATGTGCCTGTAATAGTGATATGTTATGAAAAGCTTACTCCCATGATGTCTGGGATCTGGCTGGCTGATGAATTTTTTATAAAAACACATATTTCAAGTATAGGGTTTAATGGTAAGATATATATGCTTATTCATACAGTATTTTTAGAAGGATACACTAGAAATGAGTCATTAGTTGCCCCTAGGAAAGAGAATTTCAAGGCTGGACAACTGAGATGGGAGGAGGTATTCCTTTTTATTTGAATTTTATACTGTGTATGAGTTAGCTAACAGTAATATAGCAATGATAAAGTAAGTAAAGCAAAACCAACAAAGTAAACAGTAACAAAAGGGGAAATAAATGGGTGTGGCAAGTACTCTGTAGATATAATTCTAGCCAGATATAATTGGTGGCCCCTATTTGGGTTTCTTCTCATACTTGATAAGCTTCTTTATTTATTGATGGCTAAATTTTATTAAAATTAAAATTCCCTTCTAAATATTAATTATATGGCTAAATTTTATTAAAATTAAAATTCCCTTCTAAATATTAATTATATTCTAATGTTTTGTTATCCTTTTGTTCCTGCCAACTTCAAATGATGCAGAAGAGTCGTCAAGTTTCTCTTCCGTACAAGATCTATTCTTGGTTTGGAATGTAAATTGGAAGTGTTTGTTTGAAGGGTTAAAGAATCATGATGACTTAGGAGTAGTCTTTTTATTTTTTTTTTTCTTTCAATTTGCTGTCGGCCATGTGTACTTACCAGAGAGGAAGAGAGAAAAAGTGAGAAATCACCCCCAGGGGAGATGGCTATGCCATCGTCCCTTCTCCTCCATTCTGCTCCTGGATTTTGGGCACACGCACACACATGCTTGGTGTGTTTATTAAGCCACCGAGTCTGATGCTCACACTGTGCCATTGGCTATGTGGGATCCAGCCACCTTAATACACCACGTGGCTGACCCCTGACTTACTAGTAGTCTTTCAGTAAAGATAATTAAGATTTGTTTGTTTGAGGTACTTTAATCTATTGGCATATAGATGGAAAGAATTTACTTTGAATCTTTCCCCAAATTCTCATGTCTAAAATCTGATTGATTAAACTCATTCTTAGTGTTTTATTTTGAAAAATAATGTAGCTTTAGCAAACCTCTTTACATAGTGGAGTTGTTTTAGGATATTGTTATATCACTGTGTTTTAAAAACTTACAGGCTTTTTGTTTTTCTTTATACCCTTTAGTCGGCCTCAGAAAGTGTGTTTGTGTCCATTTCTCCCTGTGCACCCTCTGCACATCTCAACCCACTTGTACATAATCCAGCACCCAGCAGAGGTAAGAGTTCGTGAAATACATAGTTCAAGCAGGATGTGTCTGAGAAGAAACACAGATACGGCTGTCCCTTCCAGCTCTTTAGCATTTATTTTTTTTAAAAAGAAATTGATGCTTTCTCTTTGGGAAAAATAGTTTCTTTTACATAATAGCATAGAGTCATATGCTTTAGAGACAGATAACATTTCATAAAAAATTGTTAGTGAATAGTACAGAAATTTAGAACAATTTCGTATGGGGAAAAGATGATATTTTTGTGAGTAATGGGCTAAGGAAATCATTGCTGTTTAAATTTTGGTTATAGCTTATGTTCCTTGTTTTCTAGGTATGGTAAAAGTTACTTTGGTATTTTTGTCCTACAAAGTAAATTTATCAATAAATATTTGATTTCTTTTAGATAAATAGGACAAAAATGTGTATTTTATGATGTGTATGTTACATATAGAGACTTTGTAAGTAATACTTTTCTCCACTGATTAGAATTATGTATGTACCAGAGAACAGAAGGAAGGAGATCGTGTAAAACTATGAATTATAGTTATAAAAAAACTAGTCAGAGTATGGAGTAAAAATGCATTTAGGCTAAACTGGAGAAACTTGTTCAGTCTTTAGGAACCCACGTCATCATAGATCCATTCAGGCATTTGAAAGAGAATTACTTTTGACATTTCTGAAGCTTATATCACTTGAAGAGACTTTCTCTTTATTGCCAGAGCGCATGTTGCTTGCCACAGAGTGGGAGAGGGACCGAGAGAAACCACTCCCCAGTGAGGTGTGGTCATGCTGTAATCTTTTTCCCTTCATTTCTTTGTCTTGTCAGGATTTTGGGCGTGCGTGCATGCATGCACACATGCGCGCGCACACACACTACTTGAAGACTTTAACAAAGATATACACTTTTTGTTTCTAGTTTGCTCTAGGACATGTACACTCTCCAAAGAAGACAGAGAGAAAGGACATGTGAGAAATCACCCCCACAGAGAATGGCCATGTCACAGTCCTTTCTTGGGATTTTGGGAACGCACACACACCATGCCCAGTGTGTTCCACATTGTCAAATCTGGGTCTTGAACTACACAGTCCACCACGTGGGATCCAGTCACTTTATCCACTGCGGACTGGCTGGCCCATGTTCAAATTCTTAGTCGATTTGTAACTCTGCAACTCAGGACAAATTAATTAACCTGTGCCTTAGTTTCCTCTAGTAAAATGGACATGATAAAAAATTGTGTACATAATGTTAGATGTTATGATGGTAGTTCAAAGATTATGTCTAAAATCAATAAATCAAGAAAAGCAAGACGCACATATTATATGGAAGTATGGAGATTACTATCAGAACAAATATCTAAAAGATTTAAAATGATTACTTCTGGGAAGTGGTTCTAGGGAGTACATCTGGGAACAGCTGTGGCATTTAAAATCTTTTGGCACTATTTTATTTGACATATGTTTGTATATTGGTCTAGTTTGGGAAGTGATTAAGTTTGCATCCAGGTCTCAGAGGAGGGACGAACATTGTATGAAACACTGGAGAATATCCTAAAACCCATCTAAGACAAAGTAGCTAATCACTTGACTCTGTAGGATTAAGGATAAAATACTTGTGGCAACACAAAGGTAGTGTCTACTTTTGGAAGCCAGATGTTAAAGAAAACCACTAGTGAAAGTCAAGTTAATGGGATTTTCAGAAATAGTTATCAGATTTCTTTACTCAAAAGTTATTACTTCATGCTCTTTTCATACTTTATCTTCTTTGGAAGCAAGGGCATAGGTCCAGCCTGTACTCAAGTTGGAGGGAGGGATTAAGCTCCACCCCCTAGGGTGGGCAGTATTTATTTATGGTTGATTTGAGATTTATCTATAAGGAAGATTTGTTACTTCTCCTCCACTCATTTATTTATTTAATCATTTATATAATTCTGGTTTCTGCGTTTATTTTATATTTAGAGAGGGTTATAATACAGTACTGTTATTTATTTATTTTATTTATTTATTTTTTTGCTATAGAGCATATGTGCTCACCAAAGAGAGAAAGTGAAAAATCAGCCCTGCGGGGAGATGACCACTCTGCAGTTCCTTCTCCTTCATTCTCCTCTTGGGATCTTGGGCATACACGCACTCATGACTGGCTTGATTTTCAAACCCCTGGTCCAGGGCTTGAATCGCAGCCAACCATGTGAGAATCAAGTGCTTTTTTTTTTCTTTTGGGAGAGATTTTTGCTATGGGATGTGCGCACTCGCCAGAGAGAGACATAGGGACAGAAATCAAGAAATCACCTCCCTAGGGGGAATAGCTACGCCACAGTCTCCTCAATTTTCCTCCTTGGGTTTTGGGCACACATGCACATATTCCCAGTGTGAGTTTGAAGCCACTGGGTATGGGACTCAAACCACGGTCAGCCATGTGGGAGTCCAGCAACGCAGGTAGCTGCAATGCCATCTGCTGGTCCTGAGAATCCAGTGCTTTAACCAGCATGCCTGGTACTATGTTATTTACTCTGTTGCTCAAATTGCTTCATTTTGCCTTTGAGAGCTCTTTTAGACGGGCTGTGTCCTTCTGATGATCTGTTTTGGTTTTTGAGCAGCTTCCTGCTTCCAGAGCATACAGATTTAGGCAGTTATCTTCAAGCTGATATATTGGGTTGTTGGAAAAGTCACGATGTATTTTTCTATGCAAAAATGCATCATGGGAACCAGCAGTTAGCGTAGTGGCTATGTCGCTGGATTCCCACGTAGTCAACCGTGGTTCGCGTCCTGGACCCGGTGGCTTAAAACTCACGCCAGGCGCGTGTGCGTGCATGTCCAGGATCCTGAGAGGAGAATGGAGAAGAAGGGATTGTGGCGTGACCATCCCCCCTGGGGGGTGATTTCTCGCTTTCTGTCTCTACGTCTCTCTCTGTCTGTCTGGTGAGTGCTCGCCCTATAGCGAAAACCTCTCCAAGAAAAAAAAAAAGCATCATGATTTTTCCAACAACCCAATAGTATAAAAGTAATTACTATTGAAAATAAAAAGTTTGTCAGGGTAAATGATTAAATTTAGTTAAATACAACATTTTATTTTTCCATAACCCCAACCATTATGTAGGTGAATGTTATCTTATTTACTTAGTCAATGTGTATGTAGACTAATTATGCTAATACTGATAAATCAGAGAAACTTTACCTTTATTAAGCCATGATCTGTAGTAAAAGACTTGTGAGAGTTATACGTAAAGTAATGAATCAGATGTTCATCATAAAAGTTTTAAAAATGTATTTAAATAAAATCTGTGCTTTAATCTCTCAATTAAAGGAGAACAAAGTGTTGCGGACTGTACCTCTGCTAGCAGCATGCCTCCCCCAGGATAAGTGTAAAGTAAAGATTGGCCGTCGCTTCAGTGAAGAAAGGTAAACTTTTAGGGCAATTTCAAATATCATACTTATTTTCTACATAGACCTTCAAAAAATGTTTTCCTTCCATTGAGTCTTTAGACTGAGAACATGGTAGTTGAAAGGGCTAAAAAAATTTAGGTCTGGTTGTCCTTCCAAGCAAAATAATAGAGGATAAGACAGATGAAACATAAAACCCCTGATAAACCAGAGTTGCTTACAAAGGAATGATAACATTGTCTGATAACCCATAGTAATACATGTAGAACTCATAGGCAGATATATTGGGTTGTCTGAAAAGTTGTAACACATGTTTTACATAGAAAACATGTTTTACATAGAAAACATGTGTCACGACTTTTCTGACAACTGAATATTTATTATTTATTTTAGTTAAAGGTGCCTTCAAGATAGTAGGGTTCTTAGATTTCATTCTGTTTTTCCTTATGGTGCCTAATGCACTGCTAATTCAGAAAATTATCATTCATTGATGAATTTTGAATGACAGCAGATTAAGACTATTGATTTAATATTAATCTGATATTAAGATTTTTGTTAGATGGGAACCAGCAGTTAACATAATGGCTATGTTGCTGGACTCCCACATAGTCAACCGTGGTTCCTGTCCCGGACCTGGTGGCTTAAAACTCACGCCGGGTGTGTGTGCGTGCGTGCCCAAGATCCCGAGAGGAGAATGGAGGAGAAGGGATTGCGGCGTGACCATCCCCCCAGGGGGTGATTTTTCGCTTTCTGTCTCTCTCTGTCTGTCTGGCGAGCGCATGCGCCCTATAGCGAAAACCTCTCCAAAAAAAAAAAAAAGATATTTGTTAGAGAGTGTAATTAAAAGTAGTCATTTTAATTATTTTGCCTCTTTTATATATCAGAAAAAAATTGTTTTATTTTGAGAGGTTTTTGCTATAGGGCATGTGCACTCACCAGAAAGAGAGAGACAGAAAGTGAGAAATCACCCCGCCCCCCCCCCCCCGGGGATGGCCACGCCGTAATCCCTTCTCCTCGGGTGATGGCCACATCGCAATCCCTTCTCCTCCATTCTCTCTGGATCTTGGGCACGCATGCACATGCACCCGCCTTGAGTTTAAGCCACTGGGTCTGGGACTTGAACTGCAGTTGGCTACATGGGAGTCCAGTGACATAGCCATTATGCCAACTGCTGGTCCCAGAAAAAAAAAAATTTTAACATTAAGCCTGTATTCAGTGACTTTATATATTCATTTATTAGTTATAGAAATTATTTTGTAGATTCTCTGGAGCTTTCTATTTAAACAGCATTATCATCTGAAAATAGGGTCATTTTTACTTCCTCCTTTCGGACACTATGCTTTTTATTTTTCTCTTGCCTTATTATAGTAACTGGGACATTCAGTACAGTGTTTATTGGAAGGGGTGAAAGCTGGCATCTTTTCTCTGATCCTGTTCTCAGGGCCATTGTTAAATATGGTATTGGCTTTGCTTCCCCCACGCCAGCTTTACTGAGGTATAACTGACAGATGAAAACTATGTATTTATTGTGTCCAATATGCTGTTTCGATGTGTATGTATGTACACTATGACAGGATCGTCACAGTCAAGCTAATTAGCATGTCTCATCTCACATAGCTACGGTTTGCTAGCGATGTTAAATAATATCGTGAACACTGTGGTGTGGGTGTGGCAGGTGAGACGCTGAGGGAGTGAAGCCAAATGTGGGAAACACATGTTTGTTACCCACAGGTACCAGCGAGGTGAGGTGCATGGTGTGATGGGAGGCCAGCAGGAAGCCTGGAGATGGACTTACCAGTGGGTGGAGGGCTAGAGAAAACTGTGGGACTATGTCTTTACTAAGGTCAAAGGGTGAAGGGGAAACTTCTCACCTGACTCTTTTGCTGACCATTGGGTTTTGTTGTGGTCAGCAGTTGTGAGGCGCTCTGGGTTTTGGTTTAAAAGGAAACACGTGGGTCATGGGAGGGGCAGTTTTATTAGGCTGAAGGTGATGGAGCCTGACTGGAATGTAGAGAATGTATATTAGACCAAAAATGCATGCTGAGGTGGCAGGTATGTTATATAAATTTGTAACAGTAGCTGTCCTGTGTGTGTGTGTGCGTGCATGCGCAGAAGGTGCATGTGTTCCCAGAGAGTGATGGAGAGAGTTGGAGAGAGAGGAAAATAGCACTCCCTCAGTGAGGTGTGATCATGCTGCAGTCCCCTCTCCATTTCTCTATCCTGTTGGGATTTTGGATGGCCATGCATCCGTGCTCAGTGTGTTTTTGAAGCTCTGGGTCGGGGATTTGAACCACATCGTGGGAAAATGACTCCCTTATCCACCAGACTATGGGGCCAGCCCTATTGCTTTTTGCAGCAAGAACATTTAAGATACACTCTTGTGGTAATTTTCAAGTATGCAATATGATGTTACTAACTGTAGTTACCATGTTGTACAATAACAGATCTCTGGAAGTCTGCATGTTTTGTAGATGCCGTTTATCAATTTCTAAAGCATTGAATTTTTATCATGACTACGTGTATTTATTGAGTTTTATAAAATGCTTTATATCTGTTGAAATGATCGTGTTGAATTTGTCCTCAATTCTTTTAACATAGATTGATTTTTGAGTATTATAAAGCTTTATATTCATACATAAAGAATATGTGGTCATAATGTATCTTTTTAGTATATTGTTGCATGTGATTTGCTAGTATTTTATTGAGAAAAAGTTTTGGTTTGCTTGTTTTTGCTTATTAGAGATTTAGGTTGGCAATTTTCTTTTCCTTTTTTTTTTTTTTTTTTTTTTGAGTTTTGTTACAGGGTGTGTGTGCTCACTGGAGAGATGGAGAGAGACAGCGAGACAGGGAGTGAGAAATCACCCCCCACCCCCTCGGAGGGATGGCCATGCTGCAGTCTCTTCTCTTCCATTCCCCTCTTGGGATCTTGGGCACACCCGGCACACGTGGCTGGTGTGAGTTTTAAGCTGTTAGGTCCATGACTCGAACTGCAGTAGACTACATGTGAGTCCAGCAGTGGAGCCATTATGCCATCTGTGGGTCCCAATTTTCTTCCTTTGTAAATGCTATTTTAAGGTAACTGTATCAGTTGTATGATGACTTTATAAAATGACTTGGTCACGTTCCACTTCTGTTTTCAAAACAAACTCACATATGATTTTAATTTTTTTTCCTTGAATGTTTGATAGAATTCTCTATTAAACAGATTTCTCTATTCTTGAGTTTTTATTTGTGGAAGGTTCTTATAAATATAATTTACTCATTAAACATAAGGAAATTCAGATCTTCTGTTATTTTTGGTGTCAGTTTTGGCAATTTGAACCATGCCAAGGAAATTGTAGAAGTCGTTTAAATTCATTTTATTGTCATAAAATTGCTTGTAGTATCTAACACATTACTCTTATTATAATTTATAGTGATAGTATCTTTTCTATTTCTGATTTAGGTAATTTGTATTTTTTTCTTTTAGTTTATCTTAATCAGTCTGTTTAAGTAGCCTACATTGTGGGCCTGCAGATGGCGTGGTGGTTAAGGGCGCTAGACTCCCACATGGTAGACCGTGGTTCGAATCATGGACCTGTTGGCTTGCTTTCTCACTTTCCCTCTCTCTCTCACTCTCGCTCTCTCCCTATCTTGTCAAATTTAAAATAAAAATTAAAAATAAATAAAGTTAAATAAAATAATTCTTTTTAAAAAAAGAGTATATTTGATGCTGCTCTTTTTCTCCACTCTTTCTTTGGCTTTTTATTTAATTGGTGTCCATCCTTATCCTTATTGTTTTCTTTCTTTTTTTGCTTGTTTTGGTTTTAATTTCTTGTTCTTTGCATAGTTCTTAGTAGAAATTAGATAACTTATATTATTCATCTTTGTTTATATTAACAAATAAACTATAAATTCCTTTTGTTAACTTTAGCTGCATCCCACCAATTTTGTTGTGTTTTTGGTTTTGTTCAGTTTCAAACATTTAAAAATAAAAATATTGTGATTTTTTTCCTTTTATTTGAGAGATTTTTCACAGTAGGGCACATGTGCTTGCCAGAAAGAGAGATAGAAAGTGAAAAGTCACTCCCTAGGAGAGATGGCCAGGCTGCAGTCCCTTCTCCTTCATTCTCCTCTCGGGATCTTCGACATGCACGCACACATGCCACCATTAGTTTTAAGTCACTGGGTCCAGGGCTTGAACCACCATCGACTATGTGGAAGTAACCATTATGCCATCTACTGGTCCCAGCTCTTGTGATTTTTTTTGACTTGTGGACTGTTCAGAAGTGTGTGCTTAATTTCCAAGTAATTGGGAAGTTGTAGATGTGTTATTATTTTGGTACTTACTTTCGTTTGTTCTTACTCTGTGAATTTAGGTCTCAGAATTTTAGTAAGATTTATTTTATGTTCTAACAAATAGCCTGTTTCTTTTGTGAGTATACTATATGCACAAGAAAAGACTTACATCCTTCATTTGTTAGATGTATCCTTACACAAATAACAATTGGATCAGGATGGTTGGTAGTGTTGCTCAAATCAGATCAGCTGTATTCCAACTGGTTTTATCTTTTAATTTATTTTAAGGTTTTTGCCTTTGTGCTCATACCAGAGAAAAATAGAGAGATGAGAAAGTGAGAAATCACCCCCTGGGAGGGATGGCAGCACTGCAGTCCCTTCTCCTCCATTCTCCTCAGTACCCACGCACACACACACACCGTGATTTGATTTTGTCGGATCTGAGACTCAAACTGTGGTTGGCCATGTGGGAGTCCAGTGTTGTAACCATTATACCACCTGCTGTCCTTATCATCCCCCATGACTGATTTTGTGTGTCCTTTTTCTCTCATTTAACAGGAAAAATGTGTTAAAATTTCTGTGATTATGGATTTGTTTAATTTTACATTTATTTTCAGTTTTTGTTTTGTGTACTTTAATGCTTTTTCATTAGGTGAGTATATATTTAGTATTGTTATATCTTTTTTTTTTTTTTTTTGGAGGTTTTCGCTATAGGGTGCGTGTGCTCGCCAGACAGACAG